GGTAGGAGTGGCAGATTCAGAACAAACCTAGCATATCACACAGTCCTGTCCAGAAGTCAGTCTGCAGCCACCTAGAACCTACAATGCCTGCAGCTGCTGTAACCTTCAAGCAGGAGAAGATCAGGCCCAGGACCAAAGGCTCCCTCAGGGGAGGATTCCCTTGGCCACCATTAGTGAATAGGAGTTGGGGGTCATTTCTACTCAGTGGTTGCACCGTGGTCTGAAAATTGGAGGGTCAATGAACTTCAGGTTTCAGTAAATAACTTGAATGCTTTCACTGGTGCCTGTTTTAATCTAATGCCTCAGGATAACAGGGAAGTCACACAGACAAACTCCCCCTGCTTCTCCGTGTGGCCATGAAGCACCTGATTGGAACCACCGGGAGAGAGAAGCTAGGAGACCTGCTCTCAGCTGCATGGATATCTAGGGCAAGACCAGGAAACAGCAGGCAGCATCCAGGCTTTGAGGGACTCCCATGCCTGGAGAGAGGCGAGCCCCAGGCTGTGACCCTTGCATGGCTGCCCTGTCCGCCATTCTTCAGTCCAGGCACTGGACACATAGGACAGTGAAAGGGCAGTGAGAGTCATGCCTGTGGGAGACATTTTGTTTTTATTTATTTTTAAATATTTTGTGCAAAATGGGTGCAATCCCAGGGAGGCTGGGGACTTCTTTCTGCAAACTTTGCATCCCAGGCAGCCAATTTAGAAAGGATGTTATCCCCTCACTTCTTTGCACTAAGTAAAGCTTGAAGTGTTTCCCCAAGATCCACCAATTGAAGGGAGAAATCTATAAATAAATGCAATTGTGGTCAGTTCCACCCACTCTCCATCCACATCCTCTTCGGGGCACTGCCTCCCTGATGAAGCGTGAAGGCGAGGGTCAGCTGATTAAAGGGAAAAGAGTCTGATACCTCCTTGCTCTTTAGGAGCTGCAGTGGGCATTGGGAGGAAGCATTGTTTACCTGGGCATGGTGTGACAGGTGGGCATGTCATCCCAGTGCCTAGCCCAATGCTCTCAGCATGTGGGGACTTGATACATGAGATACGAAGAAAGCTGGGCTCTCCTCAGTCACACTGAAAGGATGTTATTACAAGGTTGACCTTCTGTCTCAGTCCGGAATCACTTGGCCTGAGAAACGTTCTTACTAGCTAAGGTCAAAGCGGAGCTAGTGGTAGCAATTAGGGAGGTTCATAGCACCCAAGGCCAGAGCACATACTAGGGCAACAGGGCCAGACCAGGGCCTGATCATTCAAAGGCAGGGTCCTCAGTGCACCTTTTCCGGGTTGCCCAGCCCCGTCCACCTTGTTACCAGGATGCTTCACAGGCACCTTTTTTAGCAAACTGCACATTCTCTTTCTCTCTGTGTTTTGGAGCCAATGTAGATGCAAAATCCCTTCAGACTTCAAGACCACAGAGGGAGTAACTTGAGTCTCTTGGCCCTAATTCAAATTCCAAGAAAGAAGATGAGAGGGGCCTGTCATAGTGGGGAGGGAGAACTCAGGATCCTACCTCCTTCCTGAAACCAGTGAACTTTGTCCTGGGGCAGGTTCTGTTTGCCCTCTGCTCCCCAAGCTTGGGCTACTAGGCCTCCCCAAGCAAGGACTCACTACAAAGTCACCTGGAAGTTTGCATGAGACAGGGCCAGTAGTCAGAGAGGGACACCTGCTCAGGAGGTATCTTAGTTACTTTCTCATTGTTGCTTAGACATAATACCCGACACCTGCAGCTGTGAGGAAGAAAGGCTATTTTGGCCCACAGTTCATAGGGGCTGCAGTTCACAGTTGGCAAGGAGGCATGGCAGAGGGGCATGGCAGAGAAGACAGCGCATGCGATGGTGGCAGGAAGCAGAGATCAAGGGAGGAGGAAGGGAAATATCATCCTCCAAGCCACACACCCCCAGTGACTCATCTCCTCCAACCAAGCCTCATTTCCATCATCATATTTAGCTATAAACCCCTCAGTGCACTGATCCAGTGATGAGTGTCACACCCCCATGATCCAATCCCTTCCCCAAAGCCCCACCTATCATCACATGAAGCTTTGGGGTGACATCTAGATATAAACCATAATAAGAGGGCTCTCACATACAGCTGTAACTCAGTGGATCCTCCATTCTTCTTCCTGTCACTGTCTTCTCTCTACAGCAGGAAGGCAGCTGAGCACACAGGACAATTCTCAAATATTGGACATAGATTGCCTGGAAGACTTGAGCATCCTATCATATCAGGCATGATAGTGTCCTATTATGCCTCCTGCCTGTCACACTGCCCTCCCTGCATTCTATCACCCTTTGCAAGATTGTTCCACAAATGCAGAGTCCAGAGCATGGTCAGAAGTAGCTGCTGGCCCCTTCTTTGTACCTAAAAATAGGCTTAGGACAGAAGTTTACCTGCCATCTTCTTTGGCTGAGACTCCACTGCATTTTGACACTAGGAAACACAGAGCAATGTTTTTAAAGATGCTTGTGGCGGCCTTTCCAAAGTGGCCGCCCTTGGCCAGGGTGTGCTTCTGCTAATTCCAGGACCATCAGATCAGCTCCCCTGCCCTGAACTCATGGGCACACAGCCCGAGCTGGGTAAGCAGCAGAATGAATGAGACTGGATCCCATCCATGCTCTCCACCCAGAACCTGTCATTGCCATTCGGTCTTCTCTCTGTATCCTCAGTGATTCCATATTTTATGAATGACACCTTCCAAGACTTGCTGGCCCACTTTGCGACTGCCTGCCTTGCTGACTTCCTGAAGGACTCTCGGGAAGAGGCTGCACACACTGAGTGGGGCCAGATGGCCCTGGCTGCCCTCCACCAGTGCCGGCATTTCGCCAGGCCATGCAAGTACAGCTCTGTGACACCACGGAAGGGGCATTGCTCGGGTGGCTCTGCGTGGTCATGCCAAGATCTGCTGACAGAATGCTAACTGGAGCTCCCCGCCACTTCTCCATGGTCAAGGATTCATTCCTCCACCTGCAGCCTGACCAGACTGCTGTAGGAAAGCATGCCGTCTAGTGGTCATTGGAATCCCGCCACCAAGCTTTAGACCTGTGCGGTCCGGGGCACTGAAGCTGACTCAGCAGAGGAGGTATAGGAACACTTCTCTATCTTCCCCTTTGCCTCGAGCCCTCTGCTAAACATGGGAGGAAAGGACCTGGCCACTGAAGCACATGTGGTCTAGAGACCAGACCCTGGCTGCAGAGTAGGCTAGAGCATATCCCACAAGAAGAGTGACTGTGCCAGTGTACACAGACAGCCCACCACGGAATGAGGAGGAGACAGCAGAAAGTGCCCATTCTCCCATCTCCCTACATGTAAAGCGACTTGTGTTCCCTGATGAGTACCTATGGTCATCAAAACACAGGTGTGAAGTTCACTGCAGTTTCGCTCTTTCTTGGGTAGAGTACACCATCTAGGCACCTGGGGGCAGAGATTCAGAGCAAGGGCCCTGGAGTCAGTTTGTGGCCTCCTGGCTCTGCTGCTTGCTAGTTTTGAGCCCCTGGGTGAGGAGGTCAGCCCCTTGGACCCTGCTTCCTATTTTACTGAGTGATCCTCACTGAAGATCTTCACTTGTAAGACCCCCACTATTGTGGAGGGTGTCACAAGCAGAACATGGGCACTACCCTGCCACCCTGTCTGGGTCAACCTTTCATCCTCAGTAGAAGATGCTAATAGTACCACCTAATGCACATAGTGTGGAGGTTAAATGGGAATCCCTCGGGAATGAGTAACTACTCTTGCTAGTATTAAGACTAGACCTGCCTACCATTGGTGGAGGAGAGGAGGCCACACTTTGGGTGTTAACCCAAGTGTTCCTGTGCCCGGGGCAAGGGGCTGGGCTTCAGAGAGATTCAGGCGTTCACCCCTGAGCCTCTGCCCAGCAGAAGCCTTCAGCTGGCTGTCCTACTCCAGCGCCCTGGGTATGTGCCCACCCAGCCTGTGGCTGACCCCAGCACACCCTCCCCTCTCCCATCTCATCTCCGACCCTCTGCCACAGTGGCCCAAGGACTTGACCTCTGATTCTGTCTCTACCCGGTGTCTCAGTGTCCCCAGACCTTTCAGGGTTACCTCTAACTGCCTGGACATCCCTCCCCCAAAGAACAGCCCTGCAAGACACAGGGAGCCAATGTGTGAGCCAGCTAAATCCAGTGTAATCTCCAGTGCAAAACGGTTTGCCCACTTCCTTCCACCACACCCTTTCCCATCCCTTAGTGACATTTAGGGCAGATTTCATAATGTTCCAGTCACTTTTAGCGAACAACACCTTCTAGTCCAGTCACATTTGTCTAGTTCATGTCCTGTTTAATGGTTTGCTTCTCAGTGCCCCTCCCCCACGCCATACTCCAGCCCAGGGACTTGTAAAATGGGTCTGGTTTCCCTCCGCCTTCTGCCTTCCAAGTCTCTTTGGAATCATTCAGGAAGGAAGAGTTTGAACCAGGACGTGTATCTGGCTGCCACCACCCTGGCAGGCCAGGGCAGGCAGGGGCCAGCTTTGTGGCACATGCCAGGAAGATCCACTTTGGGCCCCTGTTTCCAAACCCTCTGCTCCACCCCAGCCTTGTCCCCATTTCTCCCGGGGTCCCCATTGCTTCTGGGATCCCCTCTGCCGAGGAGCCACCCAGGAGGGACACTGGTGACATTCCGTAGCAGCCATGTAGGGAAAGACAGGCAGAGGATGGATTTACTATGGGTCCGTTTTGTCCTCATTCTGCCTGAGGGACACCAGAGTAGAAGAGGTCCCTTCCACAGTGGTGGTGTCTTTGTCTTTATGAATGGCGGGCAGAGAACACAGCAGGTGAGTGTCCACACTGGCCTGGCCTATTTGTTCCAGAGGGTAAATAAGCTCCTCCATGATGAACTTCGGCCAGCACCCTCATTCCAACGTGAAGTCAGGGCTGATTTCCCAAGATCATGGGCTGCCCCAGGGGGAGGGGCCCCCTGAGAACAGCCGAGAAGAGACAGGTATGTGCCACCTCCCAAACAGGCCACAGAGGGAGGGCAAACCCGACAGAAAGCAAACTGCCTGTGAGGATAATCAGGAGTCAGAAACAAAACAGTCCCACCAAGAAGAAAGCACAGTGCCCGTAAAATTCCTGCTGTGAGTTGGAGGATGATCCTGTGCAGCTCTTCTGGTAAGGAAACCCCATGCTGAGATTTGAAGGAGAGAAAAAAGTGTGAACAAAACATTATCGTGTGTGACTTGGGAGGCAGTCTCGGAGGTAATGCGGGTGAAAAGGGTTAAAGGAACAGAAGGGCTTTTTACTAATGCATCAGGGGAAGAGACACCGACGTGAAACAGGCCCTCTAATAAATCAGACTGGCATGAAATTAATGACGGGTCGGAAACGGTTGAGATATTGAACTCATTCTTCAAACCCTGCCCTGTTGTCGTCAGCAATAGAAATGAAGAGAGGCATAACAGAAACCTTTCGAAAGTAACCATCAGCAGAAACGGATCCAGAGGCTGGGTCCTCTGAGCACCTCCTGAGCGGGTAGACACGCTCCCCGGGGAAGGTGGCCACACTCGGTGTCCCCACCTCTTAAAACAGTGCCCCAGATTTGCCTGGCTGCCACTGCGGCTACTGTGAGTAGAATTAGGGGCACACTGAAGCAAAGCCTGTGTTTTTGGTGGAACAGGGAAAAAAGAGTGAGTCAAAAGCAAGAGAAGGCTGGAAGTGGTGGCACATACCAGTGGTCCAAGCACCTGGGAGGCTGAGGTAGGAGGATCACTGTCAGTTCAGCCTGGGCTACACAGGGAGTTCAAGGCCAGCCCAAACTATATAGAGGCATTGTCTCAAAAAAATAAAACAAAACAAAAAAAGGGTGAGAGGTCCTGCTATAGAAAAGAAGGCAAGTGCTGGGGGAAATCTCCAGGCCCAAGCTGAGGGGCTCTGAACAAGTCAAAGCTCAATAGCTGTGAGGCTAATTTGCATCTCATTGTGCTTTCAGCAGTGGCCTCACCTCCCCTCTCTCCCTCCCCAGACGCCAAACTAGGGAACAGCAGTGTCACTGTTGCAGATCTCCTTGGACTTTTAGTGTATCTCATATGAACAGTTGCTACAGTAAGGGGGTTGGAGGGACACAATGATGGTCGACGCATCCCCACTAGAATCTGTGAATTCATAAGATAGCTCCACCTAGGTCCCAGGCCTGTTCCCAGTCATAAATGGTTTCCCATCACCCCTTCTGTTCCCTAGACTCAGGCACATTCCTTGCTCTTAGTACCCAATTTCCTCTCATACTATTTCCCGTTGCGCTCGCTAGATTTCACCTTCTTTACCTCATCCTCTGAGGGCCACCACTGAGAGTGACAAAGTACATAATGCAAAAGGGCAACTGGGTTAATGTGTTGGTGCTGCGGGGGACTGGGACTTCCACTGGCAGTCTTAATGCAGAGAGTAAGCCATGGTGGTCATTTACGGCTGCGGCATGGTCACGGAGATGGTTGGACCATGCAGCCTGCTGGTGGTCTAGGTGACAGTGGAGATGTTTTCTTCTGAGCTGGGTTGGTCCCACCCAGAGTCAGCCTTACTGATGGCTGGACCCAGCACAAGGGCTGTGGCTCTCTGGTCAGGGACCATATACAGTAGCAGCATAGAAAGAAAACCTGGTTTCATGTCTCTACTAAGTTCTCCTTTATAGCTCAATTACCTACTTACTGATCTTTCAAAGGGGAAAGGTGGTGGTAAAATCATCTCATTTGTATGAATTCTTACTTCTTGTCCCTCAAAATCACCATCTAAGGTAATACAATTACTTGTCTATAAATTGTGGAATTAAGTTTGCTAAAACATAATTGGATAAGCAAGTAAAATCTGTACACTCTCTGCAGCTTATTTACTGATGAAAATTCTTACACATAATAGATGTGCTCTTGAAAAGTATGTGTGAATATAAATGTGCCACTTTTGAATGTATCAGATGTGATACTGCTATTTAAAGAAAGCTTATAATGATAACTATTTAAAAATAAGGGTGCTTTATAAAATGACTAATCGCATGTAAATTTAGGATTTTTAGATGATCTATTATTCATAGCACAGCTTATTTGCATACTGTATACTTTAACCATATATTTTTACATGCACCTGTATTACATATGTGTGTGCTAATCTGATGTCTCTAGTTAGCCATTGTTGTGGCAAAATACTGAGAAAAACAACTTAAAAGGAGGAAAGCTTTGTTTTGTCTCACAGTATCAGAGGCCTCAGCCTTGTTACTTGGCCTGACTGCTGTTGGGCCTGTGGTAAGGCAGAATATCATGGTGGGAGTGTGTGGCAAAAAACACTGTTTCCCTCATGGCACCCAGAAAAAGAGAGAGAGAGAGAGAGAGAGAGAGAGAGAGAGAGAGAGGAAGGGGCTGGTGTTTCCAAATCCCCTTCCAATGGCCTTGCTTTCTCCCTATACGCCCTACCTTCTGAAGAACCGCCCACCTCCCAGTGATGCTATAGGCTGGGAACCAAGCCTTCAACACATGGGCCTCTGAGGGAGATTTCAGAGGAAAATCATAATAAAATGGTGGCTGCACAGGCTGAACTGGCAATGTTTACTTCTGCTCCAGTCTGCAGCTGTGAACAAGCCGGGTTCCACTGGGAGCTGGGGACTTGGGTCTTCATCAGGAAGGATGCTCTCTCAGGCCACGTGACACCAACAGAGCAGTGTTATCCTCCTCCTCATGCTAAAAAAAAAATATATAGTCCTTCCTTTGCAAATTGTTGATTTTTTTTTTTTTTAATTTTGCTTCCAGGACCAAAAAAACATGAACAGACCACTTCAAATGGAATTGATGGTGGTTCAGCTTAGTCAGGAAAAGGGAGGTCTCTAACCTCATAGGCTTGACTGCAACTTCCTGCCCAGCTTCCTGAGCAGGGCTCTCAGATCCCTTTAGCCCATTTATTTATTACCTAGGCAGACTGTTTTTAGAAATCATTGACCATTACTTTTTTCTGTTACTATTTTTATGAGCAAGCCCAAAAACTTCCAGTTTTAAAAATGTGGAACAATTACATCTGGACTATAATTAATTTTGGGGGTTGACTGTAGCTACCATATAGGAATGTGTTTTAGTAATATTCCTAGTGTAAATGTAAGATGTTTAATTTATAGAATATACTATGCAACAATCAGGAAATCAGAAGAAGAGAAGAAGAACGCCAGTTCTGTCTTAGTTACTCTCTCGTTGCTGAGACCAAATACCCAACACCCACAAATTAAGGGAGGAAAGGTTCATTTAGCTTATAGTTTGAAGAGGTTTCAGTCCATAATCAGCTGGTTCCAAGGCAGGGTGGGTGGCAGAGCAGAAACCGTTCATGGTGGGCAGAAGGCAGCAAAGAAACCAAGGGACCTCAGCAGCTTCTTTCTGCCCTAAAAGTATTCTATCTAGGCTACTGGGATTAGGGCAGTCCTAAACCAATCAGTAGACTGACTTAGTAATCACACACCCTTAATTTCACCATCACCTACTGTAGATCCAGCCACCTCTTAAAAAGCCCCACTTTTGATTGTATGAGGCTTTGGGGAGACATCTAGACACATGCCACAACACTTCCTTTTATTTCCTTAGATGTAATATCAATATCTTGCCAACAGTCTTTGGATTTTCTCTGGATGGTCTCAGGCCCTTGTGAGACATCCACTTCCCCTGCATTTTGTTGCCATGAAGGCCACCTCAGTGACTGTGGCCATGGTCTCCCACCTATTCCTGCTCTCTCTTGTCACGTCTGCCCTCCATACTGGTCATCACAACATCTAACATTCCCTAGGAGGTGCTGATGCTATGAAACTCATGATGTTCTTATATTGCACGGCTTGACTCACAAATAGCAAACACATTTGCAATATTTGTAAGCAAAGAAGCTCAAGTCACATCAGAGGCAACCGAGGCAGAGCCCCTCCGCCCCCAAGAGACAAGTAGCTCCATGGAATCCTGTACTGTGATGTCTACTTGCTCTGTAGCTCTGTTTGCAGCTACATGAGACCATGGTCACAAAGAAAGCACTTTCCTACCCCCTTAAACCAACAGTGGGATCAAGCCTAAGGTCACATGACCCTCAGATCAGAAAGGGAAACTTTTCATCTTCTCACCCCCACATCCACATAGATTCCCAAGGGCTTCTAACATAATGTTCCCAGTAAGAGGATAGAAAAGCAAATCAGATTCTTGCTCATAAGCTGTTGAATTGGTGAATGCGTTTGCCTCGTAGAGTTGAAATGTTAATGACAGTCAAAATGCTTGACAAATCATCTCGCTTAGATTTCATAGGCACAGAATTTTGGTCCTTTCTTCCCTGCTGTCTCTCTTGAGCTGCAAGGTCTATAGTGCAACAATGGGAGAGATCCTAGTATCACTGCTGTGCTTCCCCATGGTATCATTTAACCTCTGCCCTCCTCACGGACCCACCTTCAAACACAGTTGCACTGGGGACCGGCTCCAATCTGTGAATCAGAAGGACTGGAAAGAACAACCTGTGGGCTCCATGGCTCAGGGGCCAAGAGCACAGGCTCCAGTGGGCAGCCACGGTTGAGATCCACTGCTGCACACCAGCTGCATGCCAGCTGCATGGCTTTGAGTAAGCTGCTTGGTCTCTGCCTCTGTTTCCTTGCTCATACTACAGGTATCCCCCAGCACCTCCCATACAGAATGCATGGAAGAGCAAGTTTGTCAGTGTTTTTAAAACTTCCAGAGCAGATCTAAGCGTCAAAGTATTATATACAAGCATTAGCATTTACTTAAATTCACAGTTCCACTTCTAGTAGTATCTTAAGTGATCATAAGTCTATTTATTCACTCAACAAACACAAAGAGCTCTGACCACTTGCCAAGTGCTCCACTAGGCACTAAGTAAGAGCAGTGCAAAAGTTGTGTGTTTCAGGATTTGTAAGCAAAAATTTCATTGTCACATTGTGTGGGACAAGAGCAATTCAAATGTCCTCATACAGCAAATAAATCATGTTATGTTCGTGCGAGGGAACAAAATGTTGGCAGGAAAGGGATAAAGATAGAAATGTAGAAAGATATTCACAATGCAAATATCTGCCTCCAAGCCTTTGCATTTGCTGTTCCTGCTGCTTGGAAAACCAGATACACAGTAATTGTTCAAATTTATAATTGCTGAGAAAATGAACTAACTGA